GGTGCATACACCTACCCAGATTATGCATCACTACTCTTGACGAAAGTTCTCGTAGACAAGGCATTTTCCTCAATACAGTCACACCCTTGGATAATCCCCATGTGGCGACAATTAATTGATGGTCTCACATCTGGAAATATAGCCGCTTGATGTTCCACTTGCCGTCTAACAAACCCAAGTCTCATAGTAATCCAAAAATTTAGGGCATCATACTCGGATACCTCGATACACCATCACAGAATCTCACGATGTCTTGCCACGACCACTGATCTTCTACCCACACAACTCGAACCCTTGAAGTACTCCAACTCACAATTTGAAGCACGGAGGAATTGTCCATGACTGAGAACAGATTGACGACAATCCAAAGCCCCATCCTCTACTGATCACGCCCATGCGAAGCTACTCATACCGACTCTGAAGTTGATTAACAAATCAACTGCTGCCCTTCCCTGAGTACAGATAACAATCTATACACCGAACTATCAATCTCTTAGTAATAAAATATTGACCTCAGCAACCCAACCGTCTCGAAACTCAAACATTAACACCCCCGAAGAAACACGGACCCGTAATCGGATTCCTGTCCAACGGCCACCTGTCGTAGACACTCATTCCCTCCTGAGCATTTGCAACATGCATCATCTCGCTCTGTATGTTGCCTTGGCTACCACATGACCCCAATCTCATATACTCGGGTCGCAGATCCCCATAACCCAAACTTCTGTACCACATCCGATTGAGGTTCATCCCCACATAATACCCAGTTCTCCCCCACTTAGGGTTCGAACCATCGTCCATTGACATACCAAACAGACCACACTACAGACTGGCTCACCAGATGTACCATTCCCGACTCATGGAACGTACCATGCAGCACTCTATGACCTTCCAGATAATGACCAAATAACTCCAAGTATCCCGAATCTCAGATGAAAACCTCAGAATCCTCCCAATGTGACTGCCTCTAGTCACTCAAAATTTCGTGCCGACACACCACCGGACATCTCGACTGTCCCGAATTAGTTACGACTCTCAACCCTTACCGTCGATATACAACGTAGATAACGAGGGCCACCACCCCGATATACTCCTCTTGATTACCTGGAACTGTTGCTAAAATACGCCTTACTATACTCACTAAGGCATATCCTTGTCCTCGTCGATCTCAGTCCCCTCTGATGACTCCCTCACGGTATAAGAAATACCTCGCATCAGACATACCACAAAATTACTCTGGCGAAAATATCACAACTATATGCTACCCCACGGGGTTTACCTCCAGACTCTGAAACCGGAAGCTCGTTATCTCTTTCGCTCCAAACGGGAAACGAAAATAGTGTAGTTCTCGTCACAGAAAGCAACATCTCATCCATCAGCCGATCACTCAACGCAGTCCGCAATCCTCCACCTGACATTATCTCCACCTCTCCTTGAGTCCTGCGACTTCAACTGGCACCTCACCAGTTAAACCCTTCGGGATCTAACTCAATTTTCCTCGTAAGGTACACCCCCATTGAAGCTCGACCGACATAGGCCTCTGGCCCCACAATCTACCATATCCACTCTCAGTCTGAACAACCACATCGGGATAACTGGTAAAGATGGAAGCACACTCTTCTACAAATCGTGGTACCCGAACCACGTTATCTCCCCTCAATTAGCTATTTAGAACCCCTGGAATTCTCCCTGTTTCGAGTATGGGTCCTCTGCTTTCAGTAGTACGGGCCCATACTACATGCCACATCTACCCATACTTTCCACACGGATCGTCCCAGATTTCCTAAGTAGCTGCTCGACCTCCTCGATCACTCATCCCCTTGCACATACTCACTCTCCAGCGAATACTCACCTCTAAACAGCATACTCATCACACTAAAATTACTCCCTAGGCTCTCACACTTCCCTGCCATCAGCTGCTGAAGAACTCCTCATGATGCCAGCCATCTACCTCTTGAATATCGTCATATTCACTTAGTAGCTGACTCCCATCATCAAGAGTTCTACAAAGCACAAAGCAAGCAGCATTCGGGCATCAAATATCATCTACCAGCACATAAAGCCACTCTAGCTTACAACTCCGCTCGCTCTATCCACAACTCAAAAGGCATCACCGAACTCAAGCAACCCTACCTCTCGTGGGTATCTAACTACTCTCTCAGTAGATTCCTCAAATGTACATCTAGGTATCTCTCCAGATTACTCCTCTACTCAAAGTTCTCTCTAAAAGATTCCTGCTAGGCACTCCTACTCAGCACATACATATAGCAAATAACATATAATATCAAACAATAGCATCCCCTAGGCTAAGGAATCATGCATCAGGCAACTATAGCCATAACTTCTAAAATACCTAGCCTATCCTCTAGCATGCAGCTCTAATATCTCATAAATATCTCATAATGTAAACAAGTAATGGTATTTTGGGAAATCACTGCTCGGGCTCTGGTTGATTGTACACACTGCTTCGTCTCGTTTTCTCTTTAAACTCTTACTCGTTTTAGAAAAATCATTTCTTTTTAGAAAATTTTCTTAAATCCTCAGTTTGAGTCCATACATACCCGAGAGTACATCCGAATCCCTCAAACCAAGGCTCTGATACCAACTTGTAACACTGTAAATTTTCAAAACAAAATTTTCATTTTTAAATCACATAAAACTCAATATCACATTTCTCAAAACCACATTGTATCAGTTGTCAAAACACAATTTAACAAAATGACTGATAATATCCCAGAATCCTCAAACATAATCTCGAACATGTGTGTACAATCAAGCCGGCGCCTTCCCGCGATCCTGAGAAGTACCTGAAACACATATCACGCAACACGGTAAACACGAAGCTTAGTGAGTTCCCCAAAATACCATACACAAATAATTAGCCTCTCATGGCTATATATCGATAAGGACCCTTCGGTCATGTGTCTCAGTGAAGACCATTCCGTCTCACAGCTCGGGTCAGACCCTCCAGTTCGGTATCTCAGTGAAGACCCTCCGGTCTCACAAGAACAGAATAACTCAATAAGACACAGGAGTAATATACAACATAAATCACAAAGACAAAATGCATGATATCACATAACTCAGTATAAGCACATAAGACCCTCTGGTCACACAATGATTACCACTCAGGTAAGTATAGTGAGAAGAGTCACCCCAGATGATGAACAACTCCTATAAATGCTGCTGCTGCACACCGACCTCTAACACTGAGCCAAGCCCACAATTAACCCAATTAAAATCTAAGACCAAACCCTCACTTATTAGGTCTAAAGATAGTCGATTAATCGACCCATAAATAACCAAAGCCCATTAGGCCCACCAAGGCCCAATACCAAATGGGCCCCCCAAGGCCCAACCCTTAAACTTAAGTCCAAATGGCAAGCCCAACACAAGGGCCCAAAACATATATATTCCTCTTATCCAAAATCTCCAATTCATCAAGCCCAAAATCCAGACCCAATACGAGATTTAGCCCAAAAAGCCCACAGCGAGACTACGCGGGGCGTACCTCCCTTGGTACGCTCAACGTACACACAAATCCTGATCGGGGAAACTAGACCAGTACGCGGGGCGTACTAGGACTTACGTGGCGCGTACTGATCAGGTCCAAAAACTCCATTTTCGACTTAACCACTTCAGCCCAAAGCATCCAAACCTCAGGGAAGCTTCGTTACAAGCTCCTAACTGATAAAGTTTGCGACTTTATCAGTTTGCATGTCTTATTGGGATCCAACTTCCAAAATAACCATTAAGACTCTCTTAAATCCTCTTAACACATGCATGAAGAAGTCTAGACGACCAAGTTCTCATTTTTATGAATCAAGGCAACCCAAAACACTTAAAAGGACAGGAGATTTGCTCTGGAGTTCACCAAACTCACAAAGTTCCAATCTTGGGACATAAAATCCTAAAAATGGACCCAAAACAAGAACTAGCACAACAATAAGCAAGTTTCGAACTTTATACCTCTAGAGGATGCGCCAACAAGGGTAGAACTCAGATCCACAAGCTAGAAGCACAAGCTATCCTCTTTTAAGATTCCTTCTTCACTAAGAGCTTCACCAAAAACACTCAAATGAGCCACCACACTCACACAAGCCATGGAAACGAGATTAGGGTTTTGAGAGGAGTTGGGCTGGAAATGGTAGCTTAAAATGAGGCCATCATGTTCCTTAAATAGGGTCACCTCAAAATATTAGGGTTTACATTCTCTGCCTAGTACGCACAACGGACCCTCTGGTACACCCAGCGTACTAGGTGGTCTCCCCGTCCATGCTACACACATAAGTACGATGAGCGTACGCATACTTACGCCCTGCGTTCTCATTTGCCACCCATTTCTCAATAAGGACTAAACTTGCCAAAACTTCAAACTATCATAGCTTCTTCGTTATAAGTCCGTTTCCAACGAACCTCATATCCATGGAAAGGTGGCGAGAAGCCCTACGCTTCTAGTAACTCGTCGCAGCCTCAAGGCTTCCTCGTGCCCGAGTTGTAGCCCACGAACCCTAAATCACAGATGATCCGAAACAGGATGTTACATAAACCCTATAAACATAAAGGGTCATCTCATATTGAGGTAACCTCTTTTCCGACTATATCTACCTAAAATTTCCATATCTATCTCATCAAATACTAACTTGACCGACAACATATTTCCATGACGTTTCGTATGATGGACCCTGTTTTTTTTTTTTTAAGTGCTCTCAATTTCTATTTAAGTTTATTTTACCCAAAGACCCTCTCAAACCCTGTATTCCTAACCCGGTTGCATCATATGATATTAATTAGTTTGTTTTAATCTAGTTTTATTTGTTTATCATATATAGTGTTGATTGTAATTAAACAAAAGTTTAAAACTTAATGATTCAATTAAATAGTTTTTAGGAAGAAACTGCAATACAACAAAGATTTGGGTGTGATTCATAAGTATATAAAGTCCAAGGGTCAAACTTGTAAGAAGCAAACAAAGACGCAACTAAACAGAAACCATATAGATCGCCTAGGACTCTCCGTAACGCGTTTTCAAGATATCGATCTCACCAAATCGCACTTTCTCTCGCTCCATCTTCAAATCCGTTTTGATGGACCAAGAATCGGTTAGTTTTTCTTCTCTTTTCATTTTCAGATCTCGTAACAATTTTCTATCTTTCAACCATCTGAGATGATTTTTCAAAACTTTCTTAGATCTGCGTATGTTAGTTTTGATCCATTAGGTTTCTCGTGCTCTAATCTAGGGTTCTAAGCATGTTTCAACAGATGACTACACTCACGCAGAACATTCGTTTGTTTATCTCCAAATTGAGTTGATTTTATGTACTTAACCGATTCCCATCTTCTGCGATGCGTAATCGTTTCTGATTTAGCTAATTGATCTGTTGAAGCTGTGAACCCTGTACTTGTAATGAATGCGAGCTCGAATAGTTCAATAGGGAGTGAAATTTGAGGTATTTTAAGTTGAAATGAAACTCCGATTTGCTATATTAATTCATTCGCATTATAATTGGAACCTGAGAGCTGTGTTCTTGTTTAGATATACAACGATTTTAATTCAATTAAGTCTCATTTCAACTGGAACTTCTTCTGAATCTATTTGATTATGCTTAATTCATGTTTATCCTGTTTCTTTCCTTCTTTCTTCTCATTTCTCCATCATAACAAGTGAATTTGCTTGTGTTAATCATAAAAACTGATGCTTGATCATTGTTTTCTCAAGGTTGTGGAAGCGAAGGGATTCAACCCAGGATTGATCGTTTTGCTTGTTGTGGGTGGACTACTGATAACGTTTCTTGTTGGAAACTATGTGCTTTACATGTATGCCCAGAAGACTTTACCTCCAAGAAAAAAGAAGCCAGTCTCCAAGAAGAAGTTGAAGAGGGAGAAACTGAAGCAAGGTGTTGCAGTTCCTGGAGAATAGATTATGAAAAGATTCGAGTTATAATATGATCATGTTAGTGTCCAGTATCTTCTTCTTTCTTGTGAGATGTTTGCACTATTGTTAGTTTTGTTTGTGCTTTTCTAATGGTAATAATCACTTTATTACTTCTTTTTGCCTCCTATTTTCCTTCATCTTGCATTTGGAAACTCAAATGTCATTACAAAATGGGTTTGGAAAGTGAGAATTGTGAACCCTTATAAGCTATAAGTCAAAAGCATCTAAAAAGGTACCCTTTTTGGGGACTTAGTTTTATGGTTGCCCAAAAAAACCCTTTTATAACCATAGTTATGCTTTTAGTTTTTTGGACATACTTAAAATGGGTACCCAAAAAGTTTACCCTTTTAGTACTTAATTATATGTGCTAAAAAGTTAGAATCTATATAATTTCTTAATTCAAGTATGCCCAACAATAGACACCACATTCATATTGGTATAGATTTTGCTCTTTTTACATACGGGTGCATGTGAGGATGCCATTTTCGATTGGAAATTCAAGAAAGAAGTGAATAGATGAGAAAACTAGCTTTTGAAAATAGTCGAGATTATGAATATAGAAAGTTTTGTTTGTTGTGTTAAAAGTTAAAACCAATACAATTGACATCTGTTATACCAAGTCCAGAGGGGCAAATTGGTAATTTTGGGGTTTTCGGTGGTCTGTTTTTTTTGAATTCTATCCCATTTGTGTCGGATTAGATATTTTCGGTCCAAATATCTTCAAACGGGTTGGTGGTTAATACAACGCTCTAAGTAAATTGTTCCTTAGCAAGATAAAGTAAAAAAGAAATAAAAATTAAACCAATTTGTTTTCTTGAATCAAATAAAATTTGATTTGATTTGATTTTAAAATACGAAAAAATGAGTATTAACAACTAATTGCCTAAAAATACAAAATGATATCCGTGAATATGTGTTGGTTGTAATATCGTATTCATGTTTTATGTTGTCTAGTCACATTTGTTGGGGTCATTTTCGGCTTAGTAGTTGTACTAGAAGGTTGTAATGTTGTATTTATGTTTTATGTTGTCTTGTCATATTTGTCGGGGTCATTTTCGGCTTAGTAGTTGTACTAGAAGGTTGTGCTAATTCTTGTTCTAGTGTTTCTTATCAGAAAAATTAAATATCCTTCTACTTTTCTTCCTACCCATGTGAAATGATGACAAGTGTCTTAAAATATTATTAGTTTTTTCAAACCATGACACTTGTTACCATTTATTTTACCTAAAATAATGCAAACAATATTTCATTTCTAACATGCATCAGATTTACACAAAAAATCAAAGTATATTGTTTTTATAAGTCAATACATAGCTGCCTAGCTAGCCCTTTATTGATAGCAAAACTAATTTTTTTGAAAACAATATTCGTGGATCTAGGAGATATAACATTACTATGTATGACCCGTTGAACTTTGTTGATGAGTTCCACTGCCTCTGGTGCGAGAAAACCAGAGGTATCAAATACGAAAGGTATAAACACATGTTGATTTTCAATGTATGTGTTTTCGTATTTTGTCACTTTTCACGCGGTAGCTTTCAAAGCAACATGTCTACTGTGAAACCCCAACTCCTCAAACCCATGAGAGGGGAGACCCCAGTAAGATCCACACAAGCGTGCTTCCCTCACACCCACCTGACGACCAAAATGTTAGCTAGTCTGAGTGTGGATCTTCCATCCAACGGGTCAGTCAAAAAGTTCACAGCCGCTTCTTTCTTAACAGAAATATCGGCACGCCAACAAACATCAAAGAAAACATCCATAACCATACCATGTCGGTATCTGAACTCTGGGAGCTCTCTACAATGAACCACATGTTCCCCAAATGTGTTCAAACATGCCTTGCAGAAAACTAGGCATATCTCGTCAAACGGGAATAGAGGAATCATGAGATGGTATTGAAGGATAGTATAGTATTCCACATGATACATATGATGCCCGAGACCATCAATAGGGATAGTTAGCAAAAAATCCAAAGCATGAGGTATATGAAGACACTCAAAAACTGCTTTATGTCTAACAGACATGTCTAAGTCGACTTCCACATCCTTGACGGTTTGCTAAAAATGACACACGTCAATGCTTTTTGGGATTTAGGGGGTGTCCTTATTAGTGAAATCGCTACAGTTGAATCTCGAAATCGTATCACGAAGATGAGCCAAAACACAAGGGTAATCAGAGTCCACATAGTACATGTCACTATCACGTAAGATATGATCTTGTAATGTCCAAGATTAGGCCCTCGCGGCTACAAATGCATAGGAGGAAACCTCATTTAGTGAGTACAACCCCAAACCACCGAATCGAATAGGTAAAGAAGCCAGTCGTCATTGGATGTCTACAAAGAAGGGGCCACCATAAACCACCATATCCTTGATAGACTCGTACAATCCTTTGTCAAAGAACAAAGTTGCATCCTCTATGTGCTTAGGTTGGCATGTCCTTAAACCAAAGAAACGTTTTGCAATGTCCATACCTGATCAAAGCTAAAGGAGCTCATTATGCGGGTCACATAATTGTGGAAGAATACTCATCAAATCAACAACATTTATAACTCTCTTCATGTCCATCTCGGTAATAGACCCCGCGTCCCTGCTACCTCCTCCTCCCCCCTGAAGGAGCTTCACCCCCAAAAAAAGGTTTCCTTATATCTGCTGGGAATAAACCGACACGAAGCTTCCTATCATCACACGAGGGCAAAAAAAATATTCGTTTTCTTAATATTCATGTAACATATGGATTCCGAGGTATGAATTTTAAAAGTTTTTTGAAAAATTTGGTTGGCGACGACGTGGTGAGGGTATCACCACAACGTGTCAAAGTTTGCTTGAGGCGTGCGTTTTAAATGAGTGCCACGACGTGGCAATATGTTGGCCACGGCGTGGCAACCATTTTATGCAAAACCCTAATTTTCGGGCCTTAAGCCCTATTTAAAGGAAGTATAGGCTAGGGTTTCTCCCACCCTCAGCCTCCATCACCTCCTAACGTCCCTTTGGTCAAACCCTAACTCTCTTGATGCTTTTGAGCTAACTTTTGCAAGTTATGGTGGTTTTGAAGGAAGGAGAAGAAGATTTGGTGCTTATTTCCTCCAAGCAACCCCTCGTCATCTTTGTGTGTAGCTTCTGGACTTCTTGTAAGTCCTCAAACTCCCATCTTTTTGTTGTATGCTTCTTAGATCTAGGTTTTATGCCATATTTTGCCCCATTTTTAAAAATAGAGTGAGTAGAAGAGATAAAGTTTGCAACTTTATGATCTCTCTAAGTCCCACGAGCATTATATCTCATATATCGAGGATGGGGTTGTGATTTGAGGACCTTGCATGGATTTTTGGTCATATTGCGTGTTTTGACCTAGATTTGGGAAAGGACATGCATGTCCATAAATTTTTCATTTTTAGGGATCATTAGGGTCCCTAAAACCATTCTGGAAGTTTTGGATTGAAGACCTTAAGAATTAAGCGATTAATGGTTGATTCCAAACATTAAGCAAGGACCTTGGACTTGAGATCTTGGCTTAGAGGGATGTCTTGATGGAAAAATTTGGAAACTTTATCCATTGAGACCTTGGGAAGAATCATATCTGAGTTTTGAAGCCCATGAAATGGAAGGAAAATGGCTCAATACATTAAGTTGTTGAACCCAGTTTCCACGACTGCGTTTGGCTGCAACGACGTTGCGATTGGGGGAGGTGCGTAACTATTGTGTCCTTATTATGCCATGGAGTGGCCAATAGGAGGCCACAACGTGGCGGCCCTCTGAAGTTAACTTTGGACATTTGACTTTGACTGTTGACTTTTTGACCCAGGTTGACTTTTGGTCAAAGTGCTAGTTCTAAGGTATAGACTAAGGTTGGACCTTGTTTGATTGTTAGGTGTGTTGTAGCACTGGTTTCGTGTCAGTTAGTTGTGATTTATCTCACTTCATGAGACAGGTGAGTCTTCTCACTATACTGTGTAGGATGTTAGTTGTCTTTGTGACTCTTGCATATGTATGTTGGGTTGGACCCATTTGCATGTTGGGTTGGGCCTATTTGTATATATGTTGGGATGGGATCATTTACATATTGGGTTGGGCCTATTTGTATGTATGTTGGGTTGGGCCTATTTGTATGGTATGTGGTATTTTAGGGATCCTCACTAAGCTTTGTGCTTACGGTTTTGTGATTTGACATTTTCAGGTACTTCCAGTTCTAAAGGGAAGGGCCCAACCTGACAGCACAACGTCCCTCCTATGATTTTCTGTTTTGATGACTTTTGTTATACTCTAATATTTGAGATACATTTATATCATGCTTGATTTTGGAACAAATGTTGTATGAATTTGATGGCTTACAATTTTTAAAAAAAATTATCAGTATTTTGGGATGTTACAATTCAACTCCAGACACAAGCCTGAATCACTCACCCGAATAATGTTCAACACTCGACTACCTCCTCTGAATCTTTAATGATGGTCCTATTATCTAGATACCATGCGTGGAGAAGGAGCTTGCAATTTTCTCTAATCTTATGCATTAGTGGGAGCAAAACAAGGGCAAAAAGAAAAGGTCCCAAAGGGTCACCTTGCTGCACCCCAGTGGCGAACCATATATGCTTGTCTCCTATATAAAGTCTCGCTGCTTGCCCATATAAGAAATCCACCTACAAAGAAATAAAAGGGCTTATCCTCCTAACCCCGTGAAGTAAGGTTGATCTATCCTCTAGGTTAAAGGAATTCGAGAAATCCATTATAAGCATTTCAAGAGACCCATCAGCATGGTGTTCACTCAACACCATATTGGCGTTGTGTAAAACAACCAATACCACCCCCCCCCCCCCCGAGACACCAATGCCGAATTGAAAATCATTTAGTTACTTGGACATTTCTTTACCCACACCTTTCATAATAACCTTGGAAACCAAACGTCTCTATATAGTGCCTACTGCATTTGGCCGGATCCCGTTGTCTGCTTTAATGAGAGGTGTGGGAGGAGCGGATGCAACAAACTCTACCAAAATAGATGGACATCTTCCCGCTAACCATAAATTAACCACCGCAGTGATAACACGTAAAAGATTCATGGCTATAGCAGACCCCTCTCCACAAAGGGAATCTAAAATATCTTGATCCCTCAAGCGATCTCTCCTA